ATGTCAACTATTCTGAGGTGCATAAACTCGCAGTCTGGTTTAAAGGCAGTACCACAAGGTAATTGTCAATTATTATCTTTTTTTTGTCATAATTGTCAATTGGATAATTTTTTAGAATATGCGTTACTTTTAGCTCAAATAATTAGATAAATAAAAAATTTGTGTTACTTTTAGCTCTTTAAACTTAAAAGGAAAAATTTATATCTCACCCGTATAAAAGTTCTTGGTTCCGCCCTTGCAAAAATAATATGTGAATGAACCATTTGAGGTCAAAATAAAAGAATAAAGGACATCATTGCTAAGAATTTCTTTTAATATCTATTGGTCTGCTCTGGATTTTTGTATTGTATATTATGAGCTCAAATGGATGCTTCCTAATTTGTTGCACATCCTGGTCTTCTTAATTTACTGCATTTTGGACTTACAGTAATGCCTGTGGCCGGGTTGCCCTTGCCTGTCAAGAGCTCGTTGATGCCAGTGAAGCACAGAACAAAGAAGGGTAAGATTTTATGTGTTCTCTCATGATCCCCAAATAATCTACTAACAAAATTTATGAATAATACATATATGTGTGGTTCTGTGCTTGTAGGTGCCTTGTGGCTCTTGACAATGTCAACCGTGAATATCTTGTCGCCAAAGAGAATTTGAATCGCATTCTTGGGGTAACAGTTATTTTGAATCTTTAATTCCTTTCTCAGTTTTAATTTGCATGTTGCATGTTTTTACATTGTATCACTTCCAAAACCTTATGAAGATGTCATATGTATTTAATTATCGTGCATTTGATTGCTGATTGCTGATTGAAAATAAATAAACACATTGATTTTATAATTAGAGACCATAAACAATATAGGAATAAAAACTTGCATAAATGTTCTAATATTCAGAATTTTCTTTTTTATAGATGGAACGTGAAATTTATAACATGAGGCTGCCGAAAGCAACATAAGTAGAGAGAGTTCTTATTATGTTAGATCATCGACTTCAGAAGATCGTGATGTTTTCTTCATGTTGGCCATGTAATAAGTTTATTACTTCTATGTTATAGACTTATTTATAACTTGTTTTAGGATAAGGTTTTGGTATTTGAAACTTTCGAATAAGTTCACTATAAAGTTTAAGACTTGATTTTCTATCCATTTTATAAATGGACCTTGTTCTTAGTTTATGAAATTTGGCTACTATATTGGATAAGAAAATTGTTGCTTGCCTAACTAATCTTTGTGTACAAGTTCTAATCTCCACCATTATTGTCACATATTAATCATTCTTTACTAATATTGTTCTTATTTTTCATAGTGGATGCCAATTGTAAACTTTATGTTAGAAAGCAGGAAATTACCCATAAAAAGGGAGAAGGAAGGAATATGTTGAATAATAATAAAATGTTACTCCCATAAGTTACTTCACTAAATATGAAAAATGTTCAACACATTCTTTAAGAAAGATTTACCAAGTTTCTTTGCACGACTGGCGGCCTCCACCAGCTGGCTTTTATAAATGAGAGGGGTGAGTTTATGGCGGCATGTGTTAAGCGGATTCAAGCTAGCTATGGGGCTAAGCAAATGGAGCTTATGGCTGCAATTGAAGGATTGCGGTTTGCTATTGATATGGGTTTCATTGATGCTATTTTAGAGATGGACGCACAGGATTGCATCAATGGGATTCTTTCAACAAAGGAGTGCAGTGGAACAGATGGTCTCTTATTTCAGGAGGTGAAATGTCTACTGAATAATTTTCGAGCAGTCTTATGCCAATGGACCCCAAGAAGTAGTAATAAAGTGGCACATTCCGTGGTTCAGTTTGCAATTAGTTGAAGTGAATTTGTTTCTTGGATTGAGGAAGCACCGATATGGTTGCTTCCTGTGCTTGAGGCAGATGTACCCTCTTTTGAAATGCCTCGTCTGAATGTTTTTCTCTCAAAAAAAAAAAAAAAAAAAAACAAAAGAAATAAAACAAAACCAAAAAAAAAAAAAAAAAAAAAAAATGGATGTGGAAGTACTGAGGAATTTAATGATGTAAATTAATGTTCTAGAATTTGTAAAGTTTTTTGTTTGGCTAATGGATTTAACCATAGAATTCAATATTTTAGAACTCCATTTCTCTGGAATTTTAGAAATGACAATTATTTAGATAGAATTTAAAGTTGATATTTATGACCTCCAAATTCCATATTTTTTCCATGTACAATTTATAAATTTCTTTGTTTATTTTTTATTTTTTTATTTTTTTTATTTTTTTATTTTTTTATTTTTTTTATTTTATTTTATTTTTATATAAACACAAGAATTGGTGTATGTCAATTTAGAAATTCTGACTTTTATCCAAATCCCAAGTTATTTCACCCATCCAAACGCACCGATAGTGTCAAAAGAAAGAGTTAGTGCTAGTTTGGCATTGCTTATTTGGGGTGATAAGTGATTTTTTAAAAATTTTGAGAAGCCCAACCCGTTTGGTAAACTGTGAGACAATCACTTATTGTTAAAAATTGCTGTGAGAGAAAGCTATAAGAAAAAGCAGCTAATGAGGTGCTTTCATTTTCTGATTATGTAGGAATTAGTTTCGAAGAGGCGCTGGATTTAATGATTATGCGGCAATCATTTTTTGATTATGCGTAAAATCAATACCAACAACACTTTTAACAAAAAATTTACCAAACGCCAAACTGCTTTCTCTCACAGCTGATTTCTCTCACAGCAAATCTGACAGCGATTATTTTCACAGCACAGCAATGCCAAACTAGCCCTTAATGTAATCATGGACCCAAACGGTTGGTTCATGCTTGGCAAGGGCAATGAGCACTAGTCCTCCAACAACTACTACATAAGTGCCCAAGAGCATCTCCAAGGGAGATGTTAAATACAAAATGTTAAATTTGGATATGATGACTTATATGGCAATTTGACAATTAGTAAAAATTTAACTCCATCCGAAATGTCAAATATCATATTACCTCATTATATTTTTTAAAATAAATAGGACCTCTATAATTAATATATGCTATATAGAAAAATATTTTTTTTTGTTGATTAACAGAGAGGATGTGGGAGCGATTTTCATCCCACAGGAATATTCGTCTAAGATTCCGTCTTCCCTTTCGTTGTCTGTTTCTCCCTGCAAAATAAATCGGAATAAAAGGACCACACTCGGGTGGGTGTTGGCCAAAGGCCCTCCGATGCCTAAGTTAGTTCAAGTGTTTGTAGGAAAACAATAGCTAACGGAAATGGTATAGAGTTGTATGTATGGTGTGAACCAGGTGGCCGGAGCCGTATGTGGTAGCCGGAGCCTTGTGTGTGAGAGAGAGAAAGAGTATGACAACTAGGGTTTGTGAAAGATAATTTCTACAGAGTTTCAGAGAGGAATTTAGATGTAGGTTTAGAATTACCTTAAGCTTTGGTGTAACCATGTATTTATAGGAGCCTTAGAGGTTAGGGTTTCGGAAGAATAATTCCACATATGAAAAGGAATTATTCTTCCCCAATTTGGAGAGATTGATGTAATTAGGGTAATAATCAAATAATTGCCAATTGAATCAAATAACTCCCAATTAGGCCCAATAATCCCCAAATGGAAGGAAATATTTGACTTAAGATTTAGCTAAAATTCGGTTCCCACAGAGGACATGCTACCAAAATGGGGAAGAAAAAAAAAGAGGTTTTGGACTTTCAAACAGCTTTTGAAATTGGAAAATTCTATTCTTGTAATTGTACGACAGGAAGAACATATTGGTTATTTCTAGACTTAAGGTGTACAGATAAATGCTTTTTAACCACTTGAGTTACGAGCTTTTTTTATTCTTCTTACTTCTTGGGAAATGCTATAATATGTTTATTTATTTTCCCTTTATTTTCCTAATAAATACTTATGGAACATATTATATACAATGTATATAGAACACGCAAGTAATGTCATTGAGCCCAGAAGGCATCGTTAGTAGAGAGCTAGTTGTGGTTCGGTAATTTAGCTAATTTTCCTGAGAAGATCATTTGTTTTTTTTTTTTTTGGTATGAACCACGAGGTGGTCCTGGATGAGCCCCAACTATGGGTGGCACCTTTAAGCCTTAACCACAACCCAGACTAATCCCCGCTCACACCGGGTCGGCCCGTAAGAGGTAAAGTGCTGGCCAAAATGGTGACTCCATACGAGAGCAGGGATTGAACCCCTGACCTTCTCTTAAGGAATGAGAGTGCCGAACCACTCACACCAACCACCTTGGTTGAAGATCATATGTTTTCATTATAGAGAACAAACTTTTTCTTCCAACTAAACTGAGAAACTCACAAAGTTGTTTCAAAATTCCACTCTTGTTCACTCTACAATATTGTATAGTGTGTTTGATTTTAATTCATATGATCAAATTTTGCAATTTTTTTGTTGTTTGTTTGTTAAAAAGATCAAATTTATCAGAAAATAAAATTAACACGAAGAAAAATTAATAAAAATTAATTTGAGGTTAAAACAATTGTTATAATGAATAAAATCGGGTTGTAAATTTTTTATTTTTTATATTTATAAAAAAGAGTTTATGGAGAAATTTGCTACCTTCATCACCAGCGCTAGAGCATACCCACAACTTTGAGCTGGGAGGAAAAAAACTTGTGTGTCGTTAAATAGTTGTATTTGAGAGTACAAAATTTGGATTTTGGAGCTTTTGGGTGGGAGAGCCCTAAATGGTACACTGGGCAAAAAGAGGGACAAATCGGCCCAATTTAACACCTTTAAACCCAAACCGGTTGTGGGCTAGGTTCATATAAACCGAAACAGTAAAATATAAATAAAAAAAATCGATGTGCAGGTTTTTAACCTAATCTCGCGTGTTCTTATTTCCCCTCAAACTCTCTTTCGGCCGCCACTCTCTTGTTTCCGTCTCACACTCAGTCGTCTTTGCTCTCATCTGCCATTGAGGCTTTGCTGCAGAAGCTCTCTTTATTCAGTCTTAGACGGTAACTTCTCTTCAAACTCTCTCTCTCTCTCTCTCTCTCTTTCTCTCTCTCTTCATATGGGTATGCTTCAATTTCTTCTCAATTTCAGCCAATCATATAGTTGATTGAATGTGGATGTTTTAAGTGCATATCTTTGAATTGTGCTATCAGTTCTTGTAAATTGAGACAAGTTTTATGGACCTTGGTTATGAATTTTATGTCTTACAGATAAATCCTATCTTCCTTGTTTAGTTCAATTTTTTCTTCTGTTTATTTGTAGCTGGTTAAGTGTGATATATTTTGTTTGGACAGAGATGAAGGTGGTCGCTGCATATTTGCTCGCTGTTTTGGGAGGGAAGACCAGCCCCTCAGCTGCTGATTTGAAGGACATTCTCGGATCAGGTGACTTTTATTTTGAAAACCTTTTTTTCTTTTAATGTATGACTCAAAGTTGCATTATTACTGATTTCGTTCAATAGTTTTTGTTGAATTTGGATTGCCATTTGTGGGTTTGGTTTGGTTTTGATATTTTAAATGGCTTTGTGATGCGTTTGTAATTATTTTAATCGCGTCTGATGATATTAGTCTATGTAGTCTTTTATATATGGATTAACTGCTGAACCATATTTTAGTGTCTCTCAGATTGAGATGGTTTAATTATCTAATTTTGATTGGGGCAGCTCCAGTGCTAGAGCACCTGACATCTAAGGAAAGAGTTAGAGTCTTGCGCTCTCGCTCCTTTGAATATTGTGCAATACTCTGTCCCTCTGTTAGTCCTTGTTAATTTTCTCTTGGGTTGGCATTCTGGCAGTATTCTTACAACCTATAGGCCTGTTTATAATTGAATTTTCTATATCATCGAAATGGAGATGATTTTTTATTGACATCTGGTCATTCATTAGTCAAAAATTCAAAAAGCTCATGGTTTCCTGTTTAACTAGTACAGAAGAACCTCTTATGTGATACATTTAACATTTTGTGTAAAGTCAAGTAATGGTTGCACAAAAAGATGCTTAACATCGTGTTGTCCATAGGAATTTTTAAGAACAAAACCGGTGCATAATTATTTGTTGCGCCAACATTTTTGCACTTGCACATTAAATTAAGTTTTGGTTTCTTTACAGTTGGAGCTGAGGCCGATGGTGACAGGATTGAGTTGCTGTTGTCTGAAGTCAAGGGCAAAGATATTACAGAACTAATTGCTTCGGGAAGGGAGAAGTTGGCGTCTGTTCCATCTGGTGGTGGTGCAGTTGCTTATTCAGCACCTGCGGCTGATGCTGGTGCTGCAGCTCCTGCCGCTGCTGAGCAGAAGAAGGAAGAGAAGGTCGAAGAGAAGGAAGACACAGATGATGTAAGTTCTGTTTAAAATTCTGTTGTAGTTTGTGCCTATATTGCTTCTTTGTTTGCAAGTTTGCATGATCTAATTACAATGTTGCTGTTTTGAATGTCTATACTTGAATTTCTTGTTGCAGGATATGGGATTCAGCCTTTTCGACTAAGAGACTTTCATCTGGTGCTTTGCCTGTATCAGAACTTCTCATTTTCATTAATACTTTCATATCGGTGTTATGTTATTAAGTTTCCATTTTGTAGTTGGATATGGTTTTAGATCTTAAAAAATTTTGGTTAGATATGCAAGGGATCAAAGAGATTGCGTCAGATAATTTTTGAATTTTATCTATTTGAGTTGAATTATGGTTACTTGCCTGTGGTTTATGTTATTGTAGAGTTCATTTCTTGCTTATTTGTGTGGGTCTGTAGATCCGGTTGCCCTTTGCCTCCCGTAGGTTGAGTTTGCCTCCTTTGAGCAAAAGAAGCATCTATGGTTAGGTTGCGAAATTTCTTGGATCTTTACATCCTTCTTTGTGCTCTTGAACCAAATCACTACTTTTGTGTCAACCTTTCTGTCACACCATTGATTGAGCAATTTCAGACTTCAAAGTGACTCTTTATTTTCTTAGGTTTTGTTTTTATACCGAAAATGGCTAGAAAATTCATTATGGTTAAAGTGGCCAACTCAGTGCAATATTTGAATAGTTTTTCCTTCCCAAAAATGTGTAACCATGTTTCATTGCTAGCCTTAAGTAGTCACGTTCCCCTCGACAGATTGAAGAGCTTCTACAGGTTGAACTGTTTTGTTTTGACTAAGAAGCTCACCCTTTAGCAAGTCCTTTGAAATGATAATTATTTCCCCCCAAATGATCGAAATATCACCGTGCGCATATCATTGATACCAATTTTGCTTACCCTCACCACAGAATGACTGGTGGTATACCATGAGACAATAGTTAGGATTCTAGGTTGAGTCGGATGTGGGGGCGCGGGCTTCAAGTCGAATTTTGGCCGAGGCTTTTGTGCCCAACATTTTCCTTCGTTTTTTCTTTCTTTAAGTTTGGCACGAATGTTACCATGACAATAATTTTTTGTAAAGAAGGAATTTGAGGAAAACTCCCTCGTATAAGTACATAATAATCATACTTACTAAAACACTACAATAGAAAGTTAAGAAACCTTGCAAGGATTTTATAAGGAGTTCATTCACACCACCAATTACCAAATAATTTTGGTGTTGGAACCTCAACTTCCCTAGAAACCTTGTAAATTTTTGCATTTTTTATTGGTGCCAACTATGTGAAAAATAAAATTTTGGGCTGGTGAAAGATTGGAGTTTTTAGTAACTCTTTGCATATTAAGTTGAATCATTTGGAGGTTATTTTAATTTATTGGAAGTACTAAATATATATATATATATATATATATATTGAGCTCAAAGTGGTGAAAAATTGGAGTTTTAGTGACTTTGAAATGTTTTGGAAATTAAGTTGAATTATTTGGAGGTTATAATTGATTGGAAGTGTTAGAAAAATATTTGGAAACTTTTTTAGGTCGTTGGGTGAAATTGAGTCTATAGCATTTTTTGGGACATAATAGAAAATATCGTATCATAGCATTTTAAAAGATTTTCAAAACCAATCTTTGAAAGTAAAACGTTCTTCGGAAAATTCAACCTTAATATGTGTTAAAATCCTCAATTTATTTGAATTTCCTTCTTAAGTTTTAGATCTCGATCATTACATTCCTTGTAACTCCTCTTCTGGGCATTCTCTACTTTCATCTGAATTTCCTTCTAAAGGTTTGTTGTTCTAGAAATTCTTGAAAGTCATATGTTCGAACTACTCATTGAGTCTTACCTTATATTTTAGTTCCTCAATTGTAAACAAGATGAATCCTTGCCGATAAACATGCGTTCAACCAAGCAACAATCAAATCATTTCGCAACATTTGGTTGTGATTGTGGAAGTTACAATGGTTATGATGGAAGGGAATAAGAATGCTGGTAATCAATAACTTGGAAACCAGCAAAGTGAGCAAGGGAAGAACAATAGTGTGAGGGTCGATATTTGGACCGATTTATGAAACTGAGGAGATGTAATGGAAGTTCTTAGGCATAGGTTTGGATTAAGCATAAACAAACCAACTTGGAATATTAATTCTCCACTGAAGTATCATGTATGGTTAGCGACCCATGTTAGATTTTCTTTATAAGTTCATGATGTTTCACACATCGATATCCTGAAATATAAAGATGTCCCTCGCGTCATTTTCCTTGAGTACATGATATCTGGATTCATCCAATTGCAGCAGCAGCGGAACGAGTAAAAGACACCAACGGCTTAAGACTTCTGCTCTCTCTCTCTCTCTCTCTCTCTCTCTCTCTCTCTCTCATGAGATTAGGGTTGGAGAACATATTTGACGAGAGCAGGGTCTTAAGCTTATATATGGCTAGGTCAAGTCGTCTCTACTCATCACTAAGGACCGACTTGACTAACATTCTAAGCCCATTAAGCAACGGTTCACGCAAAAGGGAATAAATAGGACCCCTTTAATTGGCTTCAAAACTTTCCTTATGTCACAAAGTTTTGGGCCTTAAGGTATAACCTAATATAAACTCTTATCAAACTTAATATAACTTAATATCTAGTGCACCGATCTAAATAGGAGTATAACAACCCACACGTGGGAGGATGAAATTGACAAATGGTGGGACTGGGACATCGTGAAACACCATAAAGGTGAAGTTGCAAACATGAGGATCTAGGAACAATTTGAGCAATTACAATCAATACTTTCCTATCGAGCAGAACAAGCTATTTGGAAACCGCAGTTTTACACATGTAAGAGATAATCAGTACCGCTTTGAGTAGTTTATGGCTTGAGTAAATCTCAAGGGGGAGTTCATAGCAAATTTTAGGGCGTGACAATTTCTGTATACCAAGCTAAAAGTGACATAAATAGTAATATTGTATCTAATTGGGACTATAGTGGGAGAAGCAACTTAATTCTATGTTGGAGCCATGCTAGAGTTGACACTACTGTTGTATATAGATATACTAATACAAGCTATTAAGAAACATAGCACCATACACAAAATGAAACCCTTTTCTTTCTCCTTTTCTTTTTTTTTGGGTGTTGGAATGAAGCTACAATCAACATCATCTTTATAAGTTACAAAAAAAACAAAAACCTATATCAGGTAACATACTAACAAAAAAAATTAAAAAAATACTAAACACTAAGTGAAGCCTATTGGAGCTAAGCCAAAATTGACGCATCATTGCATGCGAAAAAGGGTGGAGCCAAGAGCGTAGGTAAAGTCTAGAATAGGTCTCCCTGGAGGAAACCTGCACCAGATAAGTTTTACCAAAACACCTAACGTCAGAGGGAGTGAAGCCTCTTGTTTTTCCAAATTGTCCTTTTAGAATCTTCAGTTTCGTCTACAAATTGACTTAAACACACCTTGTTGGTATGTGTGCAAAGCTGCCACAAGCTATCCAAGACTTCACTTCCATAGAAAGAGACGATGTTGAAATCATCAAATAGATCTAAAATCCAAGAAAATGATTCAGAACCGGACGTTTGTGACAATTGAGACTGAAGATAGGATTAAGTTTAGTGTAGAAATTTGCACCGTTGATCATTGTGTTAGCCAAGGCTGAGGCCCGACTTATCTCAGGGCTGAAAATCATCTTATAGATAACAGTGAGGATTCCAATGATTAGAGATCAACTTCCGATCGTTTGGAGCCATTAAGGACTCTAAGCATATTAAAGGAAACTATTTATCAAGTTGTCATTAAAGAGTTCGTGTTTTAGAGATTGGTCATTCAACGATTATGTGTACGAGATGAAACTAGATCGAGACCGACATTTTCACTTAAGAGGAGTTAATAGATACATTATCGAGCAGAACAAGCTATTTGGAAATCGGAATTTTACAAGTGTAAGAGATGATCGACAGCCCCTTGAGTAGTTTATGTCTTGAGTAAATTTCAAGGGCAACCTCATAGCAAATTTCAGGGCGTGACAATTACTATATGCCAAGTTAAAAGTGACAATTAGCAATATTGTATCTAATTGGGACTCTAGTGGGAAAAGCAACTTAATTCTATGTTGGAGCCATGCTAGAGTTGACACTATTGTTGTACATAGATATACTAATATGAGCTATTAAGAAACATAGCACCATACACAAAGAGAAACCCTATCTTTTTTTTGTAATTTTTTTTTAAATATGGAATAAAGCTAGAATCAACACCATCTTTATAAATTAAAAATAAAAAACACAAAAACCTACACTAGGTAAGATACAAAAATAAAATATAAAAAAAATTACCAAACACTGAGTGAATCTTATTTGAGCTAAGCCAAAATTAACAAATCATTACACACAAAAAAGGGTGGAGCCAAGAGTGGTAGGTAACATCCAGAACATATATTGGTGGAGGAAACGTTTGCGCCAGAGAAGTTTTACCAAAACGCCTAATGTCAGAGGGAGTGTAGCCCCTTGTTGTTCCAAATTGTCCTTCTATAACCTCGATTTCATGTATAAATTAACTTAGACACACCTTACTGGTATGTGTGCAAAACTGCCCAAAGCTGGTTACTATTAAGTATTCTAGGGTATTTCTAATTACCCAAGACTTCACTTCCATAGAAAGAGACGACGTTGAATTCATCAAATATATCTCAAATCCAAGAAAATGATTAAGAACCGAACGTTTGTGACATTTGAGACCGAAGATAGGATTAAGTAAAACTGAGTGTAGAAATTTGCACCGTTCATCATTGTGTTAGCCGAGGCTGAGGCCCGACTTATCTTAGGGCTGAAAATCATCTTATAGATAACTGTGAGGATTCCAATGATTAGAGATCGACTTCCGATCGTTTGGAGCCATTAAGGGCTCTAAGCATATTAAAGGAAACTATTTATCAAGTTGTCATTAAAGAGTTCGTGTTTTAGAGATTGTTCATTCAACGATTATGTGTACGAGATGAAACTAGATCGAGACCGACATTTTCACTTAAGAGGAGTTAATAGATACAGTATCGAGTAGAACAAGCTATTTGGAAATCGGAATTTTACAAGTGTAAGAGATGATCGACAGCCCCTTGAGTAGTTTATGTCTTGAGTAAATCTCAAGGGCAAGCTCATAGCAAAT